TTATTTGCCCATTTCTCTTTGCAATAGCTGAATGTCTTATCAGTAGAGGGAATCAGTCATCCCATTGAGTAAAATAACTCCTTCCTGTCTGTTCATTTAGTGACTGATGTAAGAAAACCACAATGACCAGTGGTAGCCTTATCTTGAAATTTAGTGAAATATTTTCAGTTTGTGGAAACTTCCTTGGAAGCTTGGAAACTAAACTTTTCTTGGAAGCTAAATTTTTCAAACCAACAGAGAAAAAAAGCTGCCAAATAAGGATCAAAAGTTCTGTGAATGGATTATTAGGTATAATCATGAAAAAAGCCACTCCCACTTCCATCTCTTAATTCCAGAACCAACATATACCAGTTATGGATGGAAAGACTATATATTTATAAACATTTCTGCTGAAAAGCATGTACTACAAACTGTAAGACAGAAAACCATCCTTTCAGGGTGTTATCTCCTGTGTGTGTGTATTTGTTAGTCTCTCAGTCGTGTCCAACTCTTTGTGACCCCATGGACTGTAGCCCGCCAGGCTCCCCCATCCATGGCATTCTCCAGGCAAGAATACTAGGGTGGATTGCCATTTCCTCCTCCAGGGGATCTTCCCAACCCAGGGATCGAACCTGTGTCTCTTATGTCTCCTGCTAGCAGGTTCTTCATTGCTAGTGCCACCTGGGAAGCACTGTCATCTCCTAAACTGTGCTATAACCAAGTCTTCATCAAGCCATCCCAACTATCTATTAAAGCAAATTTATATGGATATGGGGTTTATGGTAAAACCAGTTAATTCCATGGCCTTAAGCCATTGCTATACTTCTGTGAAATAATTCCCTTGGCTAGAAGCAAAGTTGTGCAGAATACCATGATAGGGCATTCCATGTGTCCACAGATGACAGTGTCAAAAGTGTTTCAGCCAAGACAGATAATACAGCAAGTATACAACTGCAATAGTGCACCTAGCTTGGGAGGTGATGATTAATTAGGTACACTGGGCTAAAACTGTAATCAGTTACCAGTGTGTCCTTGCTGTTCTTCATAATAAATTGTTGGACGGTATTCTCCATGGATGGTATTCTCTTCTTTCATGTTTCTAGAGGGCCCTCCTTTCTAAGTGAGGAACATTCTTGAATAGTGAAGGCAATGGAAGTTAGAGATAATGTATCACTCTGAAGAGGTTTAGAGAATTCTCCCTGGAGCTATTTCCTTACATTCATGTTGATATCTGACTGTTTATGGGTCAAGAAGCAATAAGAGGTGATTTTTTGGGGTCTTAAGAAACATCTCTACCCTCTTGCAAGTGTTTGCATCAGGAGAGATTGTCACAGTGTTTTCAAGCAAAGAATGGCTAATTTCCTCCAACAAAGGTGGTCAATCAATCTAAATGGAACAAGGAAGCTAAAAGTTAGTAATCGGTTAATATTGTCAGTTTCTTTTTAGTGCAATCTGTTCATAGGATTAAACTCCAATTTAATAAGATAAGAAATGAGCTGAGTGCAGTCAATTATAACTGTCACAGAATCAGTTTAGTTCATTTGCTCAGTCGTGTCCGACTCNTCTACTCTGATTGCTCATGAAAGGTAATTTATTAATACATTCTCTGTCCTTGAAACCCTATTAGGATACACATATAATCTTTTTCAACAACACACTATAGGTACAATTGCAATGCCATGCTTAAACTAAAAATTATACTGTAAGTTTATATAATAAAATATGTTTTAATATAGATTGATGACATTTAATAAAAACAATCATTAACATTAATACCCATAATAGGGTATGAAGAGGAATATTGCGCTTAAAACAATTTCCCTTATATGGAAATTGAAGAACACAGGAAATTAAGTCACTGACCCAAAATCACTCAATGATTTAAGAATTAAATTCTCATATGTTGACTCACTGCTGAGTAGCATTTATTACATTTTTATGATAATAGCTATTTTTCAAGGAGGATATGGCAACCCACTCCAGTATTCTTGCTCAGAGAATCCCCATGGACAGGGAGCCTGGCAGGCTGCAGCTCATAGGGTCACAAAGAGTCAGACACAACTGAGCGACTAAGTACAGCAAAGCACAGCATTTTTCATGCATTAATTTCATTTATCTCCTGAAGGACAATGGATAATAATGGCCATATTGCTGTGTTATATATAATATCATGATAATCTCTGTCTTAAAGTCCATGGGGAAAAAGATATATTCCAGTGTGGGGGGAAATATACATGTTTTGTAGATAATTGGGCTTACCAAATGAATAATTTTATCTTGCCAATTGAAAATAAAAGGTAAACTATTTCCACCTCATCCTTTAGTCCATCTGCCTTTTTCGTGCTTTATTGCATCAACAGTTCCAGTCTTTCTCAGTCATTTTTTACTTACAAAAAAATTACCCATATTCTTCTGTATTAACCTCAGAATCCCTGACATTTATATTGCTTCAGTGTTTATCTTATTAGGTTAAAAATTGACAGCAAATATGGTCTGAATACTGTCCTTCTGCCATCCCACTCATGTGTGACACCCATTTGTTATCCTTCTAGATACTGGCACAGTTCCCTGCTGTGACTACTCAAAGACCTGCACACCTTGAGGTTATGATGCAAAGTAACCTAGTCATTTTGTATCCATCCATGTTGCTCTGGTCTCTGTCACTTCTTAAGTGTTCCGCTAAGATCAGAGCTTGAGTTAAAATGAGACTATATTATTTGTGACCTGTATGCTAATTTTTGCCATATTGTTAGTGGACTACTTCTAAATCAATGTGACTAGTAATCATAGTCATGACAATAATTTGTGACCAGAATAAAAAAAGAAGGAAATGGATGATTTTCTTACCATTAGAGCATCTTTTACTCTTTGCTGTTAATTGTGATCACAACCTCATCCAAGTAGGTATTTCCCCGAGAGAAATAAGGATAAATGTAGGGAACTGTAGCCCCTGGTGGGGCTTTATTTGTGCAGTTGTTTTTCTATCTATACAGTTGTCTGTACAAATACAGTTGTCTTTCTATCTATCTTTTGGGATTCAGGGTAAGAGAAACATGAGCCAGATTATACAAACACTCTTCAGTTCAAGCTTTTATTAATGATCTGGCAACCAATAACTTTTTAAATCCAAATTGACTTAAAATGTAATTTTTCACATTAACCTAACATTACAAGGCCAATTTTCCAATTTCAGTTGAACTTTAACATAAGAAAGCAATTATAGTGACAATAATAATTGTAAACAAGCAATGAACCAAGCTCTATGCCAAATGCTTTCCATGGATTATTTCACTAATGCCCATTAGCCTACTGCTCCTTATCAAGAAACTGAGAATTAGTTGTGTTGAATAATTTATTCAAAATGATTATTTATCAGTAAAAGTATTATCATTGGCTAAATCCATGAACAATTCCACAAACAGAGAGTGTTCCAATAGTTTCTCAAGACAGGGAAGATGAAGCTTGGGAATAGCAGGTGTAATCTGTAAAAGTAATTGGATCATTTTACATGTAAGAAAAGTAGACATTAGGAAAGTGAAGATCCTAACTATGTATCAAGATAACCAAAGTGAGTTATTACATAAACAGAAGCTTGAACAGATCTTGAATACTGTCTTTATAGAGGGAACAAATCAAACTTGTTTCTCTGACTTGCTAAATTGGGTTAAGCAATTATATATCAGGAAAAAAATTAACAGAAAAAACTGCTGTCCTCCACCACTATATTTACATGCTATAGCCTTCAGGTACAGGCATTTAGTCAACTTGAACTGATACAAGCCTCCTAGAGTGTGTATCATGACTGTCTCAGAATCGACTAGTAATGAGTCCTATGCCTTTCAGTCACTTCTTTAATAGTAACTATGTGTCATACATGAGACTAAGAGCTTTATACATATTTTCATATTCAGTTCTCAGAACAACCAGAAAAGGTAAATTTCCTTATCGCCAGCTGAAAATAAGAAAACTTAGGTTCCATGAAGTTAAATTACTCATCCAAGAGCATCTTGCAGCTGGTATGTACCAACCCTGGATTTGAGTGGAATTATTTCTGTGAAAGTCTTTGATCTTAGTAACCATTGCATAACATTTCCTCTTTAACTGCTTTGAAGCACACCATTGTTATTCTGATAAACATATATTTTTATCAAAACTATATACCATATTTTTTATACACAAATTGTCACATGCATAAATAAATTTAATAACATATATTACTATAGAAATTTAGTTCCTTTTAGAAGGAGGAGTTATAATGATAGTCCATGAAGCTTCTAGATGATCAGATTCTCAATAAATATTGTTGTTGTATAGTTTCTCAGTTTTGTCCCCTCTCTGCAACCCCATGGACTGTAGCCCACCAGGCTCCTATGTCAATGGGATTTCCCAGGAAAGAATACTGGAATGGGTTGCCATTTCCTTTGCCACAGTAAACATTGCATTATAATAACAGATCCTTTAACAACAAAATGTTTATCATCACACAGTTAAAAACCAAAGCAGCAGAATTCACTTTAATGCTGCTTTACATTAACAAATTCTCTTTCTCATTTGGTTTTGATCCACACATATTGTTGCTGTTCAAACAGAAAGACAGATGTTACAATATGAATCACATTTATAGGTAAATTTAGTTTACACTATGCTGGAGTAAAAACATTTGACAAATTCCTTTAATTTTTTGAGTATATGGGGGTGTATTAATCAGAAAGAAATTCTATCTATAGTGACAGGTCTTTGCATAAATTAATCTAGAATACCTGCAGGGGGTAGGGGTAGGATTGGGGATGATCTGACCTGATTTTTAATATTATAATGATGTGTGATGCAATTAAATAAAACTTAAATTTGAAGTTCCCTGGTCAGTTAAGGCAGAGGGTTTTTTTTTTTTTTTTTTTTTTTTTGAGATATAAAAACACTTGGTCTCTGTGTCAAGAGAAAGACCTCCGCATTGCTTTGAAGCACCCCTGGCAGTTGATAATGGAGAGCTGTTGGCAATGATTATGGAGGCAGATGCTTACCTGTACTCCTAGAGTGTACAATCTTGGCTTGATGACAAGGTGAGGAGAAGGAGAAGCTGTCACAGAATGGAGGCAACTGGCAGTTGAAACCCTAGCAGGGAAGGGTAAACTGGTCGCCCAGGGCTGCTTGCTTGACTGTGGCGGCTCTCATCAATCACGCCAACATATGCAGCTGCCTGAAAATAAACAGGCTTCTCAGACAGGAGACAAAATGTGGCAAATTAAAAGCCCAATAATTTAAACAAATCCATTTCCAGTTTCACAGCAAAGATGGATGGAGGAATTCTGCTGAGACCCAGACTCCTGATGAATTGATAAAAGTCAGTGATATATAAAAATGCAATCAGTTTAAACATGCCAATTGTGAAATAAGATCTCTGTATCAATTTTTTTAAAGGTTGCTTTCTTAAAAATACAGATATGGCATATTTTTTTAAAAAATCTAGCAATTATTATCTTCTCCTAGATTTTTTTTACATTTATGCCTTAAATAAACTTTGCAATTCTAGGTACCTTACTGAAGCATATGTCTTCCAGTTCTGTCCAAAGCCCCCACTGAAACCAGTGGGAATTTGGCTGCAACAATGACTGTATAATTATCCTTGTAGTATTAAAATGACACTTTTTATTTTCATTTTCTTTTCCCTATTAATCTTTCTATTAGCTAATCTTGAAAGTGCTTATTACAATATTGCTTCCATGTATTATTTCATCATCACAAACCCATTTACTTTCCTGACTCTCTTTTAAGTTAATATTAGCCTATTTTGACTCCTTCCTATGCTTGTATATACATTATTCTTGTTCCAAATATTCTATTCTAGTTCCTTCAGGTCCTGCAGCAGTCTCCTATTTCACATCAAGGAAACAAATTACTTGCTGTCCTTCCTTTGTTGACTTAAAACAGACTATTCCCGGGAACTCTTGACTAGTAATCTCAGATTCCCTAAGGTTAAATGATGATGAACTCCACCATTAGAGACTTAGTCACTTTCACTCCTTGTTAGCACCTCTCTTCTTGAGTCTGTTCTGTATCCTTCATCTAATTTAGATTTATCTAAAAGTACCGAAGAGCTCACGTCCTTCTCACTGATGTGCTGCTTGGCATTCATATGCTTCTGATTGCTACCCAGTGCCCTCCGGAGTACTGAGGGGTCTGATGAGACAATATCAGAAGGCGGTGATTTTCTTTTTCAAATCTGACAGTGGTGCAGAAATTAGAGAGAGACTAAACTAGCCCGAGGTCAGTGTAATTCTCTCGACTCTCAGACTCATCTCCTTACACAGGTGGCGTTACAGCTGCTGCTATGTCTGCAGGGGAATCAGATTTGCTGGCAGTCCCCCTCACAGCTGGCGGCCGGATGCAGGGACGTGACAATCAGGTTCGACACAGCTAAATGGGGAGCATCCACCTTGCCTTCCAAATGTCTGCTTCTCTGCAACCCGCACTACAAGATGGTTTATTTTGGTTTTTGCTGCTGTTGTTGTTGTCTTTTTAATCATAGCTGAGAGTTCAAATTTATCCTCACCTAGTAAATTGCTTAATGATCTGTCATTCCATTTCACCAACTCTCTCCACCTCAGGGACAAATAGACATCTTTTAGAAATGAATTTAGCTCAAGATTTTTAATCATTCTGAAGCAAACAGTTCTTTTTATGCTTTCTTCAGAATTTGTAATAGCTTGGGGATGATAATATATCCCCAAGATAAAGAAGTTGGATTTTAGTACAGTGGCATTTCACCATAGCAATTACTGTAAGAAGCTATGGAAAAATACTGTATTTTGGGCAAGGGAAAGAAGAGATGAATTCAGTAGTTGAGACAATGACAATGACATTTTTGCAACATCCAAAGGTAATACACATACATATGGGTACTCTAGTTTTATTTACTGTCTTGGATGTCTTCCTAGTACATATATATCACAGATTCTTTATTGCTTACATTGGATTTCATCTCACTGTCAGATGGTTGCTATAGTCATTTTAGAATCCCTGGGAATAATTGTCATAAGCACATTGACAGACATGATTTTTTTTCAGTCCTCTAATTCAGTGCTAGTGGTAATCCGGGTTCCACAAATCTGTCCTTTATCACAATTTTCCTTTGACTTCAAAGAATGTCCATGGTCCATGTACACTCTAAGCTTCATTAACTCTGATGGCCCTGCCATATGCTTACAACCAAAAGGATATTATGCACATAACTTAGCCCAGGCATAGGTTAAAGCAGTTACTAAGTGGTGACTTGCATATCACCTTCTATCTCCAGACACTTCAGCATAAGTATTTTTGCCACATTTTGCGTGACATATAATAAAAAAAAAAAAAACTCATGAACTGGCTGTAAGCTACAGTGCATAAAATCCTACTATAATTAATTAGTGTTGTTATAGCAACACCTTTGATAATATTGCTTAACACCCAAAGAATGCAGTGGCGTGGGGTAAAGTATCTAAAAAATAATTTTGTCAATTTAATCTTTAACTATTCTTTTCCTACTGTCTTTTTTTCCTTTTTATTTTAATCAGTCCCCCCTTTATTTAGATCTCTCCCTTTTTGAAGAAATTGACCAGTCAAACCTCAACAAAGCAGCAGGTCTCAATATCAGTTTGTTTGAATACTGAGAAGCTAGTAGTAGTTTATTTATTTTTTTTGTCATTAAAAAAAACACAGTATTTACTCTAGTTAACTTTTTTATTTATCATGATTGCAATATAGCAGGAAACAGCATGCTGCCTTTGATTACCAGTAATCATTTCCTTGTATCCATGGTGCACCATTAGAAGAAAATAGCATTTTTTAATAACAAAATCTATGGGACTACCTATACTTGTTATTGTATTTATAGAAAGAAAAAAATCTGAATTGGAAAGGAACTTATAGGCTATTTAGTATAGCCCTTCTAATTTATAGGTTGAGAGACAAGGAGAAAGAAATATCCAGAGGTCTCATAGGTAGCTAACCCCAGAACTGGGATGTGAAGCAAGGTCTCTATCTTCCCTAATCAGTATATTTACTGTATAATCAGTATACACCAGTTTACACATAGCCTTCTATTACACAGCTCTAACACACACAGCATCCTTTTCAAAGATATACATTTAAGGAAAGCTGTATGGCAATAGTAGCTTAAGTGCATGATAATCTCACTTGCCTAGTGGTAGAAAAACTATGCTAGTGAATCAATGCACAAGATATCTGCCTTTATACTAAAGTGGGATGAATTTCAAGTGAAATTGAACATGAGAGAGAAAAAAAGTCTGGAACAGGCAGGAACACTTCAGCATTGGGAGAGTTTGAGTATACATGAAAGTAGAAGTCTTGCCATGTTAGGAGAATCATGGAACTCTAGAGGATGGTCACTCGTGGATGTTGGCAGAGCTCCAAGTCTAGGAATCTGGGAAGAGGCAACACATTGTGAGGGCCAACAGTCAGGATCCTGGAGCTGACATCACAATAGAATCAGTGAGAGGTGGGAGAGGATTGGGAGTGAGAGATTAGCAGGCATAAACTAGTAGATATGGGATACATAAGCAAGGTCGTACTCTATCACATTGGGAACTATATTCAATATCCTGTGACAAACCACAATGGAAAAGAATATGAAAAGGAATATATATATATGTGCATACACACACACACACACACACACACACACATATATATATAACACTTTGTTGTACATCAGAAATTAACACATTGTAAATCAACTATACTTCAGTAAAAATAAAAATTAAACACAACAACAAAATAATAGAATCCTTGGAGTTGGGATTGAGAGAGGCAAAGAGGAAAATAAAAGCCCTAACTTGTTTTCTTGCAATATCAGGTCCTGGCAGCATGTCAGAGCTCTGTACAGGGTTGACAGAATCCACTACATAATTTGGGGGGCCCAATGCAAAATTGTTCAGTCATTATTAGGAATTTCAAGATAGTAACTGCAGAGCTTTAAAGCAAATGTGAAGCTCTTCTAAATGTCGGGAATCTGAAATATACAATTTATAACATTTCTTGTAGCTGGAATTCTGCATATGACTTTGTTTTGCCAAATAGATGTATTCATAATTGATTAAAAAGCCAAAGGTAAGGCCAAGACGTTTGCCTATGCTTTCATCACTCTAGTATTCTTGCCTGGAGAATCCCATGGATGGAGGAACCTGCTGGGCTACAGTCCATGGGGTCTCAAAGAGTTGGACATGACTGAAGTATGCATGTTTGCACCTTAAATCAAAACCATTGGTTCTGCTCTCCAGCTGCCTTGCTTTCGAGACGCAAGTGTAAAGAGTGGTGAAGCTTTCACTTCAATCATAATCCAAGAGGTTATCTAAGAGATTGCTCTGCCAGCAGATTATTGTTGAGTTGCACTAGGAATTAGTCAATGAGTTTCAGACTAGAATCTGCTGCCTCAACACTCCTAAAAAATTTATGAGCATCTAACACCCTAGATCTCTTCCTGCTGAAACTACCTATAATGATTTCTGTTTTTCACTGAACCCCACATAGGTCAATTGAATTTAGTTGATTCTAAAGTTGGGGGTAAAGATTTCCCAGCAATAACTTTGCAACAGAGATTCTGGTAAACTTTTTTTAACGTATAAGCATACAATGTATGCACATATAATGTATAAGTGTACAATGTCAATTTACATTCTCAAAAATGTATTGATGGCCAATGACAGAAGGACAGGGGAAGTTTTTAAAAGAAGCACATCTCTCATACTAGGTATATAATTTTCTAGGGCTGCTGTCATGAACTATGACAAATTTGGGAACTTAAAATAATAGACATACGCTCTCTCCACTCTGAAGAGCAGAAGACTAAAATCAAGGTGTCAATAGGGTTGCTTTTCCTCAGAGGCTCTGAAGGAGAACCGGTTCATGAGTCTCTTATATGAGTGAGTGCAGGCAACCCTTGGTCACCCTGAATATGCAGATGCATCACTCTAGACTCTTGAACAATTTTCATATGGTCATCTTCCTTTTGTGTCTGTGTCTTCTACAGAAGTTCCAGGAGCTGGTGATGGACAGGGAAGCCTGGCATGCTGTAGCCCATGGGACTGCAAACAGTCAGACATGACTGAGTGACTGAACTGAACTGAACAGAGTCCATATAATTTATGTTGATTTGAGTACTAAAGAAAAACCTTAGGCTATATGAATCATTCTGGTATC